CAGCGTTTGTGAGCTCAGTGCTGCTTTGTGTACAGCCGTTACCGGGGAAACAGCTTTTTTACCGCTCCAAAAGTGGCACCTAGTGGCAAAGAATGAATTTGCATTTTCATTCAGACCAACGCAAAAAGACCAACAAGTGGACGGGCAATATGCTAATGTTTCATGTTGACCTCAAGATGAAACGGCTTGGGATTAGTTTTAAAAACGACTCGTTTCAATGATTCAGAGTCGACTCTTTCTTTTGAGAGACAATAACTTTATACATGGTGCACTTTCAGATTTAAAACTTTGCAGGATGTTTTCAATCACTTAGAGCTGTGTTACACGCTGCATGAAAGGTACTTTTCAAAAATCCATAATAGGGGCACTTTAACTGCAATACAAGAGTCAACTACCATCAGACCTGACCGAGCCAGCTCTGTACAGAAAATAAAACAATTTCTGGATTATTTCATTTAAGACTGCCTTTAAAAATGAACATTAATTATAAAACTACAAAAGAGTCACACTTCAGTTTGGTGGACCAATTCTCTCCATTAACTAACCATTAACTACAACTTCTGCCTCAGACTAATGTGCTGCTTATTAATAGTTAGTAAGGTAGTTTTTAAGTTTAGGTATGGGGTCAGATTGAGGGATCTAAAATATGATGCAGAATAAGGCATTAATATGTGCTTTATAAGTACTAATACACAGACAATTTGCTAGTAATATGCAAGCAACTAGTTCATAGTGAGAATTGGTCCCCAAACTGAAGTATAACCTAAAATAGTTATTGGCTGTGTTGAATTATGACAAACCATGTTGTCATTAAAACTAATCACATGAGGAGTATCACATTTAAATTTAAATGATGATTAATCTACACAAAACCCAAAGTTCAGCTGTAATAATAATAATGATAATAATAATAATAATAATAATAATAATAATGCAGCTGAAATAATAAGTGTTTTTTATGTGTATAGTTTTTGTTAATATGTAGTAAAACCATATGCATAACAATTGCTGAAATGAATTGTATAATGACCATAATATTCACTAAATTAGTTAAATATTTTGAAAATAAATAAATATGAAAAAATAATATGAACTTGATGTATTGAACTTTTTTAATGTCTGTACAGTTTTTATTGGGTTTAAGTTTTAGTTTTTAGTTAATTTAATTTATTTAGTTATTTAGTTGTATATGTAATATTATTTGAAAGTAATTAATGAAATAAAGTTTCCTTTAAATGTTTTCCCCCCAAGATTTCTATGGTTTTAGTTTTAGTTAACAATAGTAACCCTGTTTTAAATGCCTTAAATCATCTGGATTTGGTCAGATTGATTTATTAGACAGTTTTTGTGTCTCTGTATGTGGATTAAACCCTACAGACGTATTTTTTTGTATTTTTTCAAACAAGTGGTGAGTCATTCGCTCCATTATTTTGCATTGCTCCATGTAAAAGGCTATATTGCAAAAGCTTGTGATGACTAATGGGTTTCTTGTACATTTTCAGCATGTTTTCTGCTGAGTTCAGCATGCTTCGTGAAGCAAGATTAAAACATGACTTGCACTTAGGCTGATGATGCACTGGGCAACTTTTGAGCAACCAGGTGAGACACAGAGCCCACGACGGATCTAAAATATCCAAAAAGACATTTGTTACCCATTCTCAATGGGAAAGTGCCCATGCAACGTTGCTCAAAAAAAGTTGCACGGCAAAGTTGCTCCGTCTATCATCAGCCTTACATTTCTGTCACACTGCTGAATGAATGAAATTATTGAATTACTGAAATTATATCCCTCACTTCTTTGTGTAAATGGAAAATTCAACCATACTGCTTGACCTGGGTAGCCTTATGAGGGGTATACTTTTTATGAATGAATGAATTAATATATTCAACATATTTAAGTTTTGAAACCAAACACTTTTCAAAGGCACTGTATGTGGCGCTATGCTTATGTTCCTCCATGTGTAAGAACAAGGCTTAACTTACAGGAAGAACCTAGCATAAAAACCACAGACGGAGATCAGTCGTGAGTCAGCGGGAATTGTTTGCCCCTAAAGGAACAACAAACTGTGACTTCCTTAACTTCTGCGAGTGTCTAAATTGTGAAGTTACCGGAAAAGGAAGATATTTCTGTTTCCTGTCAGCTGGATTAATGCCTTCCTCCTAAAATAACACAGTAACACATACTGCATATGTCACCGCACCGCTTGTGTGATTAATAAGAGGCTTTAAATCATTAATGAGGAGAGTACAATAAAGCGAGTGTGGTTGGGGTTGATAGCGAGTGTTGAATCCCAGAGCTGTGTGTCAGAAATGTCTGGGCTTATCTTACAAATGTGACCCCGGACAACCAAACCAGTCATAAGGGTCAATTTTCTGAATAAATAAGCTTTCCATTGATGTATGGTATGTATAGGACAATATTTGGCTGAGATACAACTATTTGAAAATCTGGAATCTGAGGGTGCAAAAAAATCTAAATATTGAGAAAATCATCTTTAAAGTTGTCCAAATGAAGTTCTTAGCAATGAATATTACTAATCAAAAATGAAGTTTTGATATATTTACGGTAGGAAATTTACAAATTATCTTCATGGAACATGATATTTACTTAATATCCTAATGATTTTTGGCATAAAAGAACACAAATATGCACAAATATACCTGTGCTGCTTATGACTGGTTTTGTGCTGCAGGGTCACATATGTTCGTGTTGTGTTGTGTTCTGCAGAGGGCGAGCAGGAGGAGGCGTGGCTGATGGAGGCGGGGCTTGCGACGCTGTTCGACGAATCGGCTTCAGACGGTGAGGACGGCATCGTTCTGCTGTCGACTCTGACCCGAACGCAAGCGGCCGCCGTGGAGAGACGCGTGGAGACGCTCAAACAGACGCTACGCAAACGCAACAAACCGTACAGTGTCCCGGATGTTCGAGAGATCTTTAAACCATCTCCTGCTTCACAGAGTAAAGTACGTGACTGACCTTGCATTAGTGTAAATCAAGATTTTTAGCTCCGTATTGATTTTTAGAAACCAATGATTGGCTTGACTGGGGTGAATCTGTGAGTCTTTGACATTTATAATTAGTGAAATAATACAGATCAGTGACAGTCTGCCAGATGGTCTGATTCAGTCTAAACCGTTGGCATATGACAAAGCTTTAGCAGGATGAAGGATGTCCTACTAGTAAGGCTGTGTTTACACTGGCACAACAAATTTTTTTTCTCACGTGTGACACAGGTCAGATATTGTTGCACATGTGTAAAGACAAAAAATTGGTATTTTATTTTTTTTGCATCTGTTCTGAGCCACTTCCAAATGTGGTTTTAAATCAGATGCACATCCGATATCTGGACATCTGACCAGCGTCTAAACACACATATCTGATTCCCATCGGAATTCCAAGCGTCAAGGGAGAAAAATTTACCCAAAAGATAACTTTTCTTAATCTCGCATTATGAGTCAGATGTTTCCTGCTTGCGCTCACACAAAATCTCAGCTTCTTTTGTTGAGATAGAAACTTAGGTACACACCTAAACATTCAGGAGCACAGAAGCTGTCCTACAGTTTTATAAATAAATGTTACATTATATTTTTACATTTACATTACATTACATTTACATTTAGTCATTTAGCAGACGCTTTTATCCAAAGCGACTTACAAATGAGGACAATAAAAGCAATCAAACCAACAAAAGAGTAATGATATACAAGTGCTATAACAAGTCCCAGCTTAATGCAGTATACGTAGCAAGTAAAAAAAAAAAAAAATCATATAATAAATAAAAAGAAAACGGATAGAATAGAGCAAGCTAGTTTTCGAGGCCTTTTTTGCTTTTGTTAATTGTATAATATTTCATAATTTAGTAATAATTGTATAATTTTTCAGCAACCAGGTGATAGTGTTGCCTTTTAAGTAATAAAACTAACAGCTTGACTGTAGAGAAAGGTAATTCACACATACAATCTTACTGCAATGCTTCTTTTCTCGTCATAATTCTAGATCTAACGGCCCATAGATAAAATAACGAATGAAAACTACTGTTATTTTATATCTTCAGTCAATCAGTTCAGACAAACATCAGTGACATTGTCCATGCTGGCAGTGATCATAGCATAAGCAGGATAATCACGTGTGCATTAAAGTCAAAGAATCATCCAATGTGAATTTTATAAATGATATTTATAAACGGCAATACAAAACCCGAGGGTCAATCATGTCACAGTGGAATTGGTTGGGTATTCATGTAAACACATATGAATCGTGTCTTAAGTGAATTGAAACAGGTTGGACAAAAGACTGGATATGGTCAACATATCAGACCTGTGCATTAAGCCTTGTAAACGCAGTCTCTCTGACATATTTTAACAGTGTCACCAATTACACAGTAGTTCCCTGTTAATAAACATTTCAGCACAGTGTAATGAATAACCGAGAAAACATAAAAGTGAAGGGTTATTTCCAGTTTGAAGGATGTGATAAATCACAAACATTAACGTCATTTATTGTGCCATATTGAGTGGTTTATTAAGGACAGCTGTAAGTTGTGATTTATGTTTCTGCTAGACGCTGCCCTAAATAATCAATACTGTGAACTAAGACTGAAAGTCAGAGACTCTGAGAAAATCCTCATCAGAATGGAGCTACAGGAACACAACCTGATGCTCATGTTCTCCAGCATGATCTGAGACGATCCAAAGAGCATCAGCAACATCTGACAAAGACTCACATGATCAGTGTCACTGACATTAGATTATTCACCTAGAAAAGCAGAATCTGAAAGATCTCCAGGATTTAATGAGGCCTCAGACTTTTGGATCCGGCACGGAATGATTAACATAACATCACGCTCTCTCCTGTGTGTGTGTGTGTGAGTATGTGTGAGTATGTGTGAGTATGTGTGAGTGTGTGTGTGTGTGTGTGTGAGTGTGTAACAGTTTGTTTCTCTTGTTTTCCATCGCTCTCTTTTTCTGACAGGATGAGGCTGGATCCACAGAAAGAAGTGGGAGCAATAAACAGGAAGTGGAAGGACTGGGTATGTGTCATGAGTTGAAGTGTAATGCAGCGGCTTCTGTTTTATGGCACTCCTGAAAATGTTCACATGTAGTGTTTAACATGAAATGGCAAAGCAACACAGAGAACATGCTGGGATGTCCATTGCTTTCCCTAGTAAAAAAACAAACAAAACTATTTATTTAAAATACATTTTTTTCATACTAAGTATACTTTAAATCCATTACCATATGTATATAGACATCACTTAAGACTAACTGATATTACATTTTTGGAGTATTTCCTTAATGCACAATGCACATTTCTTAATATTAAGCCTAAAATATGTTTTAATATCTCTATTAATAATAAGGATTGTATGATCTTTGAATAATACCAGTCTTTAAATGCAAATACACCTGAAGTATACTTGAAATAGTTCCACTTTTCCACTTTTATTATCAAATATACTTCAGTGAATCTTAAGTTGGACTTCAGCACTACTTCCCCACAACTGAAGTGCATTTAGTACAACATGAGTTGTTCCAGTTTAGCAGACCTTAAGTTTACCAGTTTAGTATACTAAAACTACAATTGCAGCACATAGATATGTAAATGTATTTGTAGTATACTTACCACAAAATAAATGTATTTAAAATACATTTTAGTATTTTTTTCATTAGGGTTTGTAACTGAAATGAAACATTTTGCTTTATATAAAATGTGTCTGTCCTCGGCTTCTGCTGACCTTGACATCCAGAGAAGGAGAATCACGTAACCTTACGTCTAATCATTCACACCTGTTCAGAGATACAAGCAGGACACAAATAACATTTTTTATTGTAAATGATAGACCAATGGAAATAAAAGCGATAGAGGTGTTGTAAAGAGGTGTTGTATGAGCTTTATACGCTGCTGGGTTATCTTGTATGTTTTACAGTGTTCATACTTTACCCTGGGTTAGTAATCAATCCTGGGTTGTCAAGTTTTGACATCTCACACTGTACATTGTTAAACATTGGGTTAATGTTCTTATTTACCTATTTACAAAGTCAGTAACATCAGTTTTGACAAGTACAGCATCCACTGATCTGATGTTTCAGATCTATGGAAAAGTAGTCTGCTTGTCTCAAATCGCCAGAAACATGCTACAACAAAAAAGACAAAAATAAAAAAAAGTTAAATGAAAAAAAAAATCTTAGAATTGGTTTTAAATAGTGCTGTCAATCGATTACAATTTTTTACTAATTAATCATACATTTTTTCCTGAAATTAATTGGGATTAATCCCACCTAACATTAAAGTTTTTAAATATACTTTTATATTGCAATAATTTCACATTCAATCTTCAAATTAATGTAGAAAACATAAAGACAGTATATTTTTTATATTTGTTTAGTGGCATTTTTTTCATGACTGAAGGTGAGTATCACTGATACCAATACTGCTTACTGATGTATCTAGGAATTTTTTTCCCCCTAATATTTAACCATTGACTATATATAATGTTGACTATACGAACATTACAGTTTAATTGAGAGCTATCAAGTAGAAAATATACAGAAATTGGATAAAGGTATCAAACACTACATTCTAAATTAAATATATATGAATCCTTAAAGCTACAAAACGGATTGATTTCCTCTTTTTTCTTTTGTTCTTTCATGAACAGACATCACAGCAGTTGATTATTAGTTTTTTTGGCTGCTATTACTTTAAGAGCTGCCGCTGCTGAACTTGATGCGGATCAGAAAGTTTGATTCAAGTTTTCATATGAAATGATACAGGCTACAGGAAAGGAAAAGCTCCTCGTCATCTGTACCGTTTCTGCACTCGTGCACACTTGATGTGGTCATAAAAATGTTCTGCGTCTACATAAATGCAATACTTGTCAAAAAAAAAGAAACCGAAGCAGCAGTTGTGAGTGGGGTGGCCAACCCTAGCTCCGCCCCTGCGTTAAATAAAGCTACAAAACGGATTGATTTCCTCTTTTTTCTTTTGTTCTTTCATGAACAGACATCACAGCAGTTGATTATTAGTTTTTTTGGCTGCTATTACTTTAAGAGCTGCCGCTGCTGAACTTGATGCGGATCAGAAAGTTTGATTAACGTTTTCATATGAAATGATACAGGCTACAGGAAAGGAAAAGGTCCTCGTCATCTGTACGTTTCTGCACTCATGCACACTTGATGTGGTCATAAAAGTGTTCTGCGTCTACATAAATGCAATACTTGTCAAAAAAAAAGAAACCGAAGCAGCAGTTGTGAGTGGGGAGGCCAACCCTAGCTCCGCCCCTGCGTTAAATATTTTTAACATAAAAATGAATCACGTGTTAACACGCTAATTTTGACAGCACTAGTTTTAATCATATTTTTATTCTTCACTTCACTGTAGGTGTTTCCCATTGCTGTTTGAGTTTTTCTCAGAACTAAATAGAGCATGTGAAAATCTTTCCATCTTAAAATAGCGCACGAGACAGTCAGTTAATGATTGGTTGTCTGTTGCACTGCTGTGTTTGGCTCTGCTTTGCTCATAGTGCTGGATGAAATGCAGTACTGAGCCTCTTTCACAATCACAGGTGTGAGATGTTGCTGGAATCCGGGGTCACCTGTTAAAAGTGGCCGGAGTTAAAGACTTCAGGGTTTAGTACCGAGTGAAAGTCCTCCAGACAGATTGTGCTGTTGCTTTGCAGTTGTAGTGTGTGTTTGGGAGCAGAGGTGACTGTGGTTAAGTTATCACTGACTGCCAAATAATGACTGCCAAATAGTGATTGCTGGACTTCGACTAGCCTGATTTAGGTAACTGTTTAATCAGCGAAGAGTGATGCAAGATGGTCGAGTGCACCAACACAACTGCACCTGTGTGTTTTTGTGCATGAATGTTTTCCCTAGTTTCAGAGCATGAGATGTTGTTGTGTGTGTGTTTATTGTTTGGGTAGGTAATGGGGCGAGGCCTGGCGCTCCAGGGGGCGGAACTGATGCCGAGATGGACATTAACCTGGAGGTGTCGTTCTCCGAGCAAGCACTTATCTACAAAGAAGGGTTGAAGGTTACCCAGCCCCAGAATGAAGCTGACGACAGGTTACCCGTGAGTCAGACATTCACTCATCAGGTTAACACTTGAGGATTAAGGAATGTCAATGTTTATATGGTTACGAGTCTCACAGAGACCTTTGATCTGACTGCATATGTTTAGAGTGCAAAAATGTCAAACGAAAGATTTAAAGCATTAGTCGAATCACTGAATGACATGAATGTGGATCCTCAGTCAGATCGGTGTGTGTGTGCTCTTATTGAGTAAACCTGACCTCTGCTGGACAGTATGTGGCACTGCATCCTGCTCTGGTCTTCTGTATTATATGCATCCTTTCCCTTTTCAACTTTTCAACATCTGTCACACTTTAGTTGGGGACCAATTCTCACTATTAACTATTAGGGCTGTGCAATTAATCGCATGTGATTGTCATGCGCATCTCGTCAGTAAAGCCGGTTCTGTGATTAGTAGTAAATCTCCATCACGTGCTTTCAGATGGAGCGGCATTTAATACACAGAGCCATGATTCGTCTGCGATTATGAACGCAGTTTTGCGTAGTTTGTCAGTGAACTACTACTAATCACAGAACCGGCTTTACTGATGAGATGCGCATGACAAATCGCATGCGATTAATTGCACAGCCCTAAACTATTAACTATGCTTTTGCCTCAATAAACTCGTAATTTGCTGCTTATTAATAGTTAGGAAGGTAGTTGTTAAGTTCAGGTATTGGGTGGGAGTAAAGGATCTGCAGAATAAGACGTTAATATGTGCTTTACTAATAGACTAATACTAGTACTAATAAACAGTAAATATGCAAGTAATATGCATGCTAGTTAATAGTGAGAATTTATCTCTAAACTAACGTTACCCAAAAATCACTATTACGGTTGTATTACATTACATTTAGTTCTGCATTCTGAACACAAACACCAGTATTATGTTGAGTTTGTGCATCATCCTGCAGTGTTTGTGCTCCAGACATGAATGGTTCCTCAAATCATGTGTCTTGTTAAAGGGGTCATCGGATGCCCATTTTCCACAAGTTGATATGATTCTTTAGGGTCTTAATGAAAAGTCTATAACACACTTTTGTTAAAATTTCTCAATGGTAGTGTAAAACAACACCCTTTTTTCCTTGTCAAAAACAGCTCTGCTCACAGCAACCCGTTTCGGTGCATGTCCCTTTAAATGGTAATGAGCTCTGCTCACCAATGTTACCTCTAATTTTTTTTTTCTTGCGGAGCTAAATTTTTCAGCCCCCTGAGCAAAAACACTCTTTATACCAGACCTGTACAGCGCACACACACAAAAATTTTGTAACTTTTAACTTTAATGTGCTGTTTATATTTAATTTGACCCTTGATGTGTAACTAAATGATGTACATATTTGGTTACCTGAGAAAACATTTTTTACAGTATAATACACTGCCATTTAAAAGTTTGG